GCAGTGGTGTGTGATGAAGTGTGTCAGCTGGAAGAGGTGAAGACAGTTTGTATCCATATTGTTGCAAATAATTATCTAATCCAGTAGTAATGGTCACTTTATTATTGTGTCACAAGTGTTTGACACAATGTGTAACAAGTGTAGCTTCTTGTGAAAAAATGTTTCTAGATTAGACTCTTAAGTAATGTTAAGAATGAGATAAATATCACAAAGTGCTTCACATCAGAAATGTTTAAAGAAACAAATCAAAACAAAAATTACACAAAAGCGAGCCTAAAAAGAGTTCTCGATGAGTTTTAGGTACATTTCACAAGACATCACTGAGTCCAGATCTCAGGCTCAGTAGGAGAGCAAGAAAAAAAAAGTTAATGAACAGATCATCTACTGCTTTCCAAAAGTGACCATACGTGACTATAATAGTAAGTTCCAGTTTTTTGTATCAAACTTCATGCTTCTTTATAGAAGAACATACTTTCTGTCTAATAAGATTGCACATCTAAAGCAGTGTTTTAGCATACGACCTTGTTAGCATGGCAGGCTAAAATACCATGCTATGTGAAAGTATAAAAAGTATTTTTTTACTCCACACTATATATTTTGTGTTTACTCATTAACTCATCGACCAGTGTCTCAGTCAATTGTTGGCTTTTTTGTTGTAACCTCGGCTTCTGTCTCCTTCTCCTCTTTTTCTCTCTGACTTACCTTGCGTATTTACAGGTAGTATTAAAAATCGACGCTCCTCTTACCTACTCGCCATCACCACTGAGAGATCCAGGTCCTGTGATGAGGGTCTCAACACCTTCAGGGAAGAAAGCCCTGTCTTCTCGTAAGTCAAGAATCCTGGAAATGAAATTTGATGGCTTTGTGTCGTTCCAGATATGAGGCCATTTTCCACCTCAGAGACTCAGTTGAACTTTTTTTGTGATTTGTGTGTCCACTACATAGGACATAAATGAATGTCCAGGTCAGGAGGTTAAAGTGGTTTTTACAGAGTAAAAGTCAAATTGTACAACAATTAAAACACAGCTGATGTCATAGAGAAATAAAAAATAACATAAATAACAAAAGTACATCAAAAGAAGTTAACTTTTTAACAGAGCTGGAATGAGCCTTGGTGCCACAGACTGGCTTAAGTCTTGTACAAGAGACAACGAATAGATTTTGAGCTTATGAGCTAAGACAGCGAACAGCAGTGTACTTAACAATTAGTTCAGACATGTAGTCTGGACTCAGTGCTCCCTAAGTATTAAAAGAAATTCTACAACTGTGAGCCGCTGTAAAGCGACAACAGAGCTCACTGCAGGCCAATGGGCTGTCCCTGAAGTGGAGCGGACAGCAAACACACTTCTCCTTGACCATAAAATGAACTTTAGTGGCATTATATCAAAGTAGGAGCAACTGAGCCACAAAGTGGTAGGCCACAGAAAATCACAGAGAAAAGTCAGTGGGTGGTAAGGTGCATAGTGAGGAGAGGTCACCAGCTTTCTGCAGATACTCGTCTGTCTGCGTGTGGCAAGTGTAAAGTTTGATGGAGGGGCGACTATTTTGTAAGGGTTGTTTTTCAGGAGTTGGGCTTGTTCACTTAGTTCCAGTAAAAGGAATACCAAGACATTTTTTGGACAATTCCATGCTCCGAACTCTGTGGGAACAATTTGGGGATGATCCCTTCCTGTTCCAACATGACTGTGCACCAGTGGACAATGCAAGGTTGATAAAGACGTGCATGAGCAAGTTTGGTGTGAAAGAACTTGAGTAGCTTGCATAGAGTCCTGACCTCAGTCCAATAGAACACTATTGGGATCAATTAGAGCAGAGACTGTGAGCCAAGCTTTCTTGTCCATCATCACATCACAAATGCACTTCTGGAGGAATGGTCACAGATTCCCATTAATGCACTCCTAAAATTTGTGGAAAGCTTTCCCTGAAAAGTTCAAGCTGTCATAGCTACAAATGGTGCTGACATTATATTAAACGTTATGGCTTAAGAATGGGATGTCAGTCAGTTTCATATGCATGTAAGGATCTGAACAACTTTTTCTGTGCAGGTAATTTTGCTCATTGGTCTGAGCTGATTCAAATTTTTTACGGAACATCA